CTCTGACTATCCTAGAGGCTTTCAAGTCCAACACTAGCCGTTCAGTGTGGGACACTTGGTTTAGTGGTGAGAGTGGGGTGCCATTTTAGGACGGGGACTTCAGGCACCAAAGTTTAGGGCTGGACTCATGGGCACCCTTGCTTTGAATAAGCAGCCTTCAGAGATGGGCGGTTCTCTCCATTTCCCTCGCCCCTCCTGGGAGTGTTTCTGCCCCATGTCTGCTTGGGACCCTAATGGGGGCACGTTGCCCTTTTGACCACTGCTAAATCTGATGCCTCTTGGTGTTGAGATGCGATTCAAAAATGGCATTTGGGGCCGGCTGAGTGGCTCAGTTGGTTAAGAGCTCGCTCAAGAGTTTGAGCTCTGAGCAACAGTGGTTCGAGTCAGCCCGAGCTGAGCAGCCGTGAGCTGCCAACAGGTGGCAGGATGGCTCAGCTAAAAAAAAAAAAAAAATGGCATTTGGACAGATGTAAAATGGAGAGAGCCATGGACTTTCCTTGCGCAGGTCCCCGAGACTCCAGGGGAGGGAGGGAAGGGAAGGGAGAGTTAAGTGTCAGCCTTCTGTCACGAGAGCTGCTTTTACTAAATTTTTTACCCAAAGGGCATGCCCAGTAAAAGGAAGTGGGGCGTTCTGAAAATTTCTTTAAAGAAGTCAGGTCCTCTCCTGCTGCACTAATTCAGAGCCACAACCCTTAAGTGACACATGGCGCTATTTGCCTGTGTCCTTACTGGTGCTTACACTCTTCAGTCCCCATTCCAGCCTCAGCAGGTGTGTCTAGTGGGAGTGGACCAGTGTACTGAACCAGGCACTGTCTTCACTGCCGTACGTGGGTTTTTAGCTATTTAATCTTATCTTCTGGGTGCTTAATTCCCCTTGGTTTGCCTTGGAACCTCCTCTTTGGGATGGGGTCCAAGCTCCTTGCTGTATGGGACACCAGGCCTCACTGGGCTCTTCCAAGTGCTGTCCCCGGCCCCATGTGTCCTGGGCCCTGCCCTGACCCAGGCACCCAGCCACGCCTAGCCTCCCTGCCTCGTGTGGCAGTGGGTCCACACTGGTCCCTGCTTCTCTGGTGGGAGAATCCATTCATCCTCAAGTCCTGGCCCAGAGGCACGACCTCTCTGAAGCCTGTTGGCGTCCGTCCCCAGGGGTCCCCGAGTACGGGGCATGCACGGCCGCGGTGGCAGCGTGTGGCGCTACGGGCTCACGCGCCTCCCCCACTGGCATTCATGTTCCACTTGGGGAGGGGCTGGAGCTATTTAAATCCCAGCTCTGAGCACAGGCTGGGCATGTGCACATGCTCCGTAAATGCTGAGCCGACAGGAGCCTGACTGTAACCGGGAGATAAACTAAAGAGATGACAACTCAGTCAGTGTCCCTGACTTAGAACTGAGCTCGGCCTGTTAGTAGCTTCCCTGGTAGATTCTGGCACTCGGTGAGTCTTCTCTGGAAGCTGGCGGTTACACTGCATGTTTCATTGTCAGAAAACAGGCATAGTTCATAGTTGGACTTTGTTGTGAAGTTCAGACAAAAATGGAAATGAAAAACATTTTAAGCTGTAAGCTAGCATGTGAGTGTAAAGTAGTATTATTTATAGGAAGACTCTCCCAATAGAAGTAGGTCTAGTGCCTCTGCACGAGGATGTTGGGTTTTCCGTAGCATCTGAAACACGCCCGCATGGTCACTCCTACCTCATCCCATCTCCTCAGCATTCATTCTGGGACTGTGCCCGCCTCGTGACGGGCAGTGCTTCGGCTGAGGCGGGTACCGAAGGGAAAGCTCAGGTGCCGTGACTGTAAATTCATATTCCCATGGAGCTCTCACCCCCTTCCCTAGGGGCTGGGTTGGTATTTTGCAGAATCAGAAATGGTTACATCTTTATTTTTAAGCAGGAGCGCCTGGCGTTGTACAAAGCACGCCTCCCAGCAGACCTGCGTCACCATCTGCTGTGACAAGTTTGAAGGGGAATCGCTGTGGTCTGAATTTTACAGGCTCCCCTGCGGAGCACACGGACAGGAGTGCCCATAGTGTTTGTTGTCAGAGGCTCAGAAGTGCCCTCTCTTCTTGATGAAGTCGGAGCGGAAACACAGCGCGGGTCTGCCCCTTTGGAGAAGGTGGACCCTTACTCACTGTCCGAGGCTTTCTCTAGCCTCCCGGTTCTCTTTGTTACGGAGTGTAGAAGAATGGGGCTGGCCGCCGGAGCTCATGACCCGGAGTCCAGGAGCCAGGTGGGCTGTCTGGAAAGGAAAGCCAGCATTGTGGAAAGGGTGTGTGGGTCTTGGCAGGCACATGTCTGGGGCCTTCGGAGCCCCTGTCAGCCTCCAGAGTGGTCAGCTGGGGCGAGGACAAGGCCGGTGCCCAGATCCTAGGGAATGGAAGGAGACCTTCCCTGTGGCTCTCGAAGGCTCACGGAAGAATGTTTGTGGTGGCAGCTGAGAGAGCCCACATACAGTTTCTGCCGGTTCCATCAAAGATAGAGGCTAGACCTGCTGGGAATTTTTAATAGTATCCATTCCCCACTTTCCCGTCGCATTTGACAGCCCCCCCAAGACACCTGTACTGAACTTCATTGTTCTTGTCTGTGCTCAGGGAAGGTTTCCTTTGGAGAAAAAGTCTCCTGCTTACCTTTTGAAGCTTCAGCTCGTGGGGTACGTATATGGGCTTCATCTTGCAGCTGGGACCATCACGAAACGCAGTGTGGTCACAGACTTGGGGGGCCATGGAGTGTCTTAGAAGCGACCTGGTCCAGCACGCTCAGCTCTGCCAGGGAAAGCCATCAGTGCAGCTCCAGGAGGGTCGTCAGAGTGAGCCAGGAACTTAAGTTACACAGCACAGTTGAGACATAATGATCTCATGACTTCGTGTGTTCTTCTCCTGAGTACGTGCTGTATTTGGCTGCGTGGACATTGGTCACACTGGGGAAAACGGGGACGGAGAACTGCAGTCCTGCTGTCCTCAGCTCTGCGTGGTCAGGATTTGCCTCAGCACTCTCCTTCCTTTCTTAGAAAATTAATTTCTTGACTTAGATATTTACTTCCGTCCTCACTCGACAGAGAAATCATGAAAGCCTAACTTCTGACCTAAAAAGCGCCAGTGACTTCTTTTCCGGGTCAGTGGCTGTTCCTGCCTTGCCTTTCTTTCTGGCATCTCAAGTCTGCCCTCCTTTGTATTTTCTGTTACGAGTTCAGGGTTCTGATTCAGAGAAGCCGGACGGATTCCCACATATAGAATCATGGCCTCGCTCCGGCAGGGGCCCCCCAGGCCTCACCACGGACCTGCTGTGCGTTTCTTCCACAGTGGACGTACTGAGGCTGCAGTCTGAGCAAATGGCTGGGGTTAGTGGCTGGTGATGTTTCCCTGTTTTCTCTGAATAGAAATTTCAACATAGAATTTTGCCTTAGTTGTGGGTCCAAATAGAGCTGACCCTTGAACAACAACATGGGGGTTAGGGGCACCGACCCCCAGTACAGTTGAAAAGCCAAGTGTAACTTTTGACTCCCCCAAACCTTAAGTTGTCTCTGTGTATCCGTAGGGTGTTGGTTCCAGGCGCCCCCACAGATACCAAACTCCATGGATACCCAAGTCCCCTCTATGAAATGACATAGATTAATGTGTGCAGTCGGCCCTCCGTGTCCACAGACTCCCAACTGCAAATTAAAAACAGTACAGGTGTTTATTGAAAAATATCCACGTATCAGTGGACCCGTGGTGTTGGAGGGTTGGCTGTGTGCAGAGGGGCCTGAGATGAAGTGTAGGAGCCTCTGCTAGTGCCCTGTCCCCCCTCCTGTCTCCAAAGAGGATCCCTGTTGGCAGTTCAGGTGCGTCCTCCTCAGAACCTGTGCCTTCACCAGCATGGGTGCCCCACACATGTTTTTAGGTTTGTCCTTTTTTGGTTGTTTATCCAGAGCAGTGGTTCTTAACCAGGGCAGTTTTACCCTCAGAGGACGTTTGGCACTACCTGGAGACATTTTTGGCTGTCACACCTGGCGGTGGGGTGGGGGTGCTACTGGTATCCGGTGGGTGGAGGCCAGGGTGCAGCCACGCTGCGTTGCACAGGACGGCCCCCAACATGGCGTGATCCACCGAAGTTCAGTAGTGCCAAGATTCAGAACCCTTGTCTAGTGGAATGATTCATTTTGTTCTCCTTTTGCCTATTTGGGGCTTGTTTGAAAAGCCTGTGTGTGTCTCTTCCCTTATTGGCCAAAGGCGGTGTTTCTGGGTGGTCTGCAGACAGGCGCTTCTGGTTGTCTTGTGCTCTGGCTTAACCTGGGGCCTGGCGTCCCACGTCTGTGTTTAACACAGCGCCGGTGGGGATCCTCGCACCCTCCGAAGGCTGGGAGCCACTGCTCTCGGGCTGTTGTGATGTTTCTTGTCACCAGCCGTCTTCCAGTGTTGTCCCCAGGATAACCCTGCCTAACTCACCCTGACCAGAATGGGCTGCACTGTGAAACCGGGCCATTGCAGTGCAGGGACAGTGGCCAGCACCTGACCCAGTCGGGGGCACGCCCTGGTGGTAAGAAGGCCGGAGCGCCCATGTGAAGAGTGGGGCCTCAGGCCTGGGGACAGGAAGCAGCAGAGCAGGGAAGGAAGGGAGGAGGTGGCCCGTGGCGAGGGTGGCAGACCCCATGTCCCCACTCAGTGAAGAGAGGGCGTCCTAGTGAAGGGTTAGCACCCTCCTGGTGAAGCAGCCATCAGGTTTGTGCTTCTGAGGGGGAGGGAAGCAAGTGCAGCCTGTGAGCAGCAGAGCTGATGCCGCGGTGCACTCCCTCCCCCGCAGGAGGCCCGAGCGGGGGAGCGGAGGGAGTGGCCGCCGTGATCGCATTCATGGAAATAAGCCTGCGAGGGGCTGAGCAGCTCGCACTCCAAGTGTCAGCCCGGCAGCCCCACGCACCGCCATCTCTCAGTCCACGCCAGCCTTCCCCGCCGATCGGCTCCCTTTCTGCTGGGGGGTTCCTCTCAGCTTTTGTTCCCTCCAGCCCCGCCTCCACCCTGGCTGAGCTGGCACACATGCTGTGCCTGCTCCGTCCCTCCCTCCACCTGGCGCTGTGGGAGCACCCAGGAGGCTGGGGCTGCGGGGTCGCGGTGCTGGTCCACCATGGGCTCTGAAGCGGACGGTGGCGACCTGCCCAGGCTTTGACGCTGCTGCCCGGGGCTGCCAGGACACTGGGGCCGCAGGAAAGGGGACTGACTCGCCGGGTAAGAGCCGGGTGGGTGGCGCGGGAAGCCCAGGTGTGGAGCACCATGTAGCGCGTGGGGACCCTGCTCTGTATGCCCCCTGCTCTCCCCCAGGAGCCAGCAGAGCTGCTGTGTGAAGGACTGGTCTCTGCACAGCGGTCTTGTGGGTTCGCATTCTGCTCTTTCCTCCTAGGGTTTTTCCACTAGCTCCTTCGGATAGATGTTCAAGCTTTCAGTGTGGTTTCTTCTGGGCCTGAGATTTAGGAACAAGCTGAGAACCAGTTTCCATGGTCCTGCTTCGGTGAGGTTAGAAATAGGACGGAGAAGCCGAGGGACAAATTGGGGGTGATTCTCCCCTCTGGACCCACTGCAGGAGTTTCTCTGTTGTACTTTAAGGACTTTGGAACCTTGCCTGGGTGTGGGGAGCCCTCTTTCCAACAATGCATGTAAAAAGGGGTTAGGGTGCACATTTAATTTGAGCCCAGGGGTCTATTCCAGCTGTCACAGCAAGGGAGGATGTCAGTGTGCAGAAGAATGCAGGGCTTTCAAAGGACCAGCATGCAAATAGGTTTTAGAAGAAGGTAAAGTGAGAGAGAACTGACTTCTTAAAATCCCCCTGAGCCTCTATTTTGGACGTGGACGGGGTGTGGTAACGCAGCTGTGCGTGACGGTGATCACAGCTGGCACGGGCCTGCCAGGGCTTCTAGAGCCCCTTCACTCGGGAGGAAGGAGGAGGGGCCAGCACGGGGGGCGGGGGCGAGGCGAGGAACGGGGGGCTTTTGGTGCGTCTGGTGGGCTGGGGAATGCCCAGGCCTTCCCCGGAGGAAAGGACCCTGCCGCTGTCTGCAGGGGCCAGAGGCAGAAGGCTCTTCTTCCTTGGTGAGCTGGGTCCGGCTCTGCTCTGAGTTCCTGTGATCCTTTCAAAAGCAGCTTTGGAGACAAGGATCGCAAGCAGGAGCACTAGAAAGAAAACGGCTGCAGAATTCCAGCTCCATCAGGAACTGGCACTGCCAGGTTTTAGAAAAGGTTGAGGTTCTTAAAATGATGATTTTCTAGTTTAGCTTTTATGGAAAGCAGATGTTAACTTTGTTTTTCCAAACCTAACTTTTTGGGTAAAATTTTATTACTTAGTTTCTTTAACCACCTTGAAATTTGACCTTTGGTTAGCTGGTTAACTCATAATGTTATGCAAACTAAGGCATTGAATTCTAGGATTTATTGGATAAAATGTGTTGATTCCCTTCTCTGTGTAAGGTAAAGGGTAAAATACCTTCTTTTATAAGACAGCTTATGGAGAGCTCTTTAATATACATTCTCCCCTTGGAGAAGAGCCTGCGTGGTGGCATGCCCCCATCCATGCTTTAGGAAACTGGGGCAGGAGAGGTGGAGGCCCCCAAGGTCACAGCACCAATGAGTCACCAGAGACCCTGCGCAGGTGTCCCCACCTCCTAGCCTTGGGCAGCGGCTCAGCAGAATGAACAGGCCAGAATTGTTGGGTTAGTGGTTAGGAAAGTTTTCCTTAAAAATGCAGAATATGGTAATAAAATCTTTAATGTACTTCTAGGTGGGAGGCTGGGTGGTTTTTGTGTGGAAAGAATTTAAACTAGAAGAGTCTAAATATGCGTATTGGCAATTTGCTAGGACCCCCCCCCCCATGTTGAGTATCAGTTATGCTGGCCACATGCTAATTTAACTCTTTCCGGTCTTGGTCAGTGTGTAAATTCTTTTAAAACCTCTTAGGCCATACATTGGTGGTGAGACATTTCTTTTAAAGTGTTCTACACAAAAGTCAAATTATAGCTTCTTGAAAGGAACTAAGGTAAGCAGAAACCAGGAAGTCAGGATATTGCTATTAAGTTTTTAATTATGATAAAATACACATAAAATTTACCATTTTAAGCGTACGACTCTGTAGTGTTAAGCATATTCACATTGTTGTGCAACCAACGTCCAGAGCTTTTTCATCTTGCAAAACGGAAACTCTGTCCCCGGTAAACAACTCCCCTTGCCGTCCCCCACCCCTGGCAGCCACCCTTCTACTTTCTGTCTCTGTGGACTTGACCACTCTGGGTCCTTCAAATACTCTCACAGTATTTGTCCTTTTGTGTTTGGCTTATTTCTCTTAGCATAATGGCCTCAAGCTCATCCATGTGGAACATGTGTCAGAATTTCCTTTTTAAGGCAGAATACCATGGTAGTAAATTTTAGAAAGGATTGCTATGGTTTTGACTGAGTAGGAAGGAAAATAACTGGTTTTCCAAAGTTGCCCGACTTTCCACAAAGGTGTAAAATGAACAAATGTATCAGCATAACGTTGGCCACCTGTGTGTCACCAAGTTTTGGGCTTCAGTCACATCCCTTTGCCATGTCCACCTTCCCTCCTACACTCTCGTCTTGACAGCTACCCTGAGGCCTGTTTCTAAATTCAAGGCTTTCAGCGAAATCAGTACAACTTTTTAGGTATCTTTGTGTTGCCTTTACCTGAGAGACACTCTGAATTTTGACTGCATTCTTATCTCTGTCTTAAAGAGCTGACCCCATGTATTTCTGACATCATCACGAATCCAAGAGTTCTGTAAAAGTTTGCTGAATGTTTGTTTGTCTCCATAGCCTGAGTTCTTTCTAATCTTTTGAATTTTTCACGTTGTGCATCCCTGGGGTTTCCTGGGAGACAAGGTGACGTTCCCCCAGGGCGGGCCAAGTAAGGTGATCTGAGGTAGCAGCTAAGGTAGCCGCTGCCCAGGCGAGAGGTCAGCGGGCTGAGGGGTGACCCACACTCCACACTGGGAGCTCTGTACGACAGGCCCTTTGATCATCAAGTCTTTGGAAGGGGGCAGGCACGGGCAGACATCGCTTGCTCCCACATGCTTTCCCTGATGTGCACTCTTGAACCCAAAGCTGTTTTCATAAATGGCCGATGTTCCTGCCCTCCAGAGCCGGGAAGGAGAGCGTGGTGCGCTCCCCTTACCCCGGCCAACCCTGCTTTATGGGCTGACGGTTAGGCTTCCAGGGTCCATGTTCTCCGTCTCGTGTCTCAGTCTCATGAGCCGCCCAGCTCTAGAGGGCTGGGCCTTGCTCCGCAGGGGCCTCTGGTGCCGGGCTGGGGGCCGGCAGTGTCAGACTGGCCAGTGGCCTCCCTGGCCTGGCTGGGAAGTTGGGCTAGGCCGTTCTGCTGTCTGCCTCCTCCACACGTGGCGGAAAGAAAGGGAGGACCTCTCTGGACTCGGCCTCACTTCTTAAAATGTGTCTGTACTGTCTGTGCTGGCTTAAATTTGGACCCTTCTTATCCATTGGAAGGCAGGGGCTATAAGAAGGGTAATGGTTGGCGATCACGGTGGAAAAATTAAGGCCAGTGGTGTATTTTAAAGCTAGGCAGAGGGTCTTGGTGTAGCTGGTGACCGCAGAGGTGTCTTGACCCTCACGCACTGTGCTCACTGTTGTGTTTAGCCCCCCCCCCCCCCCCGGGATGTAGGACAGACAGTGCCGTCCATTGTGGTCAGCAGTGGCCTCTGCGCCTGCTGAGCAGAAACTGCTGTCAGAACTGCTTTCCAGTTGAAGTTCATGGCGGGTCACTGGGCACCTGCCCGTGGCACTGAGCCGGGGGGAGCTGGGCAGGAGCCTTGCCTGCCGGCCATGTGCTCTTTTATGGGCTGTGGCCGGCAGGAGGGTCCTGTCCCTTTAAGACAGCCCTGCTTTGTATGCGCTGCGTGGAGCACATTTCAGCTCTGGGTTTCTGCCTACTGGTAAAATCTGCAGAGCAACATTTAAATAAAGAAATAAATAGAAGCTTCCCTGTGTGGCTTTTCTATTCACAGCTGGGCACAATGGCCCCTTGTTGCGGTAGGCACTTTAATCTCCTTCATTAATCGGAGCCCTGCGAGGGGATGGTGAGGGGCCGATGCTGGACTGGTCCCCGTGATGCAAGCAGAGCACCTTGTGACTTAACCTTTGCAGGAACCAACTCCCAAGGCCTGGAGATCCCCCCGTTCTGCTCCGCTCCTCGTCCTCTGGGCACAGGCTGCTGCTGCCTCCGCCCCCCTTGCCATTCTTTCCAAGAGAAGAGGGCTTAGCTGCCTTCCTGGCACAGAAGCCGCTGCAGCACGTGGCGGCTGGGGGAGGAGGAGTCGTTTGTTGCTCTGCCATCTGGCCTGTCAGCCCATCTTTTGCAGTTTAACCCTGGTGGCCACGCAGGAAAGCCACGGCATGGACAGATGCCCTGCCCAGGGGCCCACTCTGCTTCCCCAGGAGCTGGGTGCATGGGGTGCAGAGTGGACGTGGTTGTTTCTGAGTCCAGGCCCCTCCTTCCTGCCCTGCTGTGGCCTCCAGGGACCTTCAGACACCAGCCAGGATCGCAGGGCTCACTGTACCCCAGCTCTCCAACCAGAGCTTGGATTCTTTATGCTGTTAAATGAAATTAAGCATTTTGTGTGTAGAATTTTTTTCCTCGTGGGCAGTATGAGAATGAAATTTGATGTTGTGTTGTTAAGTTTAAGCAGAGGAAAACACATTTATTAAAATGTTGGGGTTGTTTTCCCCTCTCAGAGCACAGTTCCACTAGAAAAATGAGATCGAATGATCTAATCAGATCTGCTTTTTTTCTTTAAGCTCTTTGATGATTCTTTGGAGCAAAAGGGAAGCAACACTGTGATTTAAGGTGATTAAAGTGTGGAAGGAAGAAGTGATTTAGAATTCGTGTGAATAAAGTGAATAAATGTCTTCTTTATTCTAACTGCAAATTGGCTAGAAGCTTTTTCTGTCCGGCCACGAGGTCATAGAAGGCCTGTCTTTTCTAGTAACCATAGATTGACATTTTTATTCTTCATTTTTAAAATGCAGCAGTACCTAATGTATTTTTTAATTGAGCGTTCAGTAGCCCATACGCCCCATCGCTCCACTCCAGGCCCACTCCCAGAAGCTCCGCTCGTAATTTCAGCTTGTTGATCTTCCGGTAGGTGCTGCCAGATTCGTACTTAATATTCTTACATCGCTGACTGTTTTACCAGAGTCAACGATTATCTCCTGGCTTCCTCCACCTGCATCACTCTTCCTTCATGCTCTCCTTGTCCATTTCTGGTAGTTTATCACAAGTTTCGTTTCCTTTATTTTCACCTTTGAAACTCCATGTACTTACTTACAACGTGGATTTCTTACTGATCTTTTACAACCCCTCCCCCCACCCCCCACGAGGAAGCTGGGGGCCTAATGGCCCTTCCATGGCCCCTCCCTCCAGCCTGCTCACCTCTGTCCGTTCTTCCTCCACTTTTACGTGTCATTTCTGTCCTGTAACTTGGATTAGCCTCTGCTGTGTCCACACGCTGACTCTACACGCTGACGCGCACAGCCCCACGACTGGGACCCTGGCTGCTCGGCCCAGAGCCGCCTTGGGCCCTGGTCAGTTCAGTACCAAGGTCGAGTGGGCTCTCCTTCCCGACCTTCCACGGATGGTGCAGAACGCCGCCACACAGGGATTCCCTTAGGTTTTGTTTTTCCCAGTTTCCAATTACAGCAGACACTTATTTCCACTCTTGTTGTTTTGTTATAACGTTGACGAGACTTGACTCTCGTTTAGATTAATTAGCCTGTGGTAACATTGGTTGCCTTATGTGTGGTCAAGTAGGGGCTTGCTGCACCTTTTCATTCTGTTGAGGAGTCGGAAGGATGCCTTCTTGTGTGATAAATACTCCTCAGTGCTTTCTCATTCATTCTCTTGTTCATGATCGATTTCATTCTTTGCGATGACTTTCTGGCAGCCCGTTGGCTTCCTGTTCTGAGCTGTTCACCATTCTTTAATCCTCCGCCTTCTGTGTTTTATTGTGAATGTTTCTCTGTGAGATTTTAAAAAAATGCCCTTTTTAAAGTACTGAATGAACTTTTTGCTTATATTTTCAGTTTGTTTCTATTTTTAAGTCTTTGTGTTTGGCTCTTTGTTCTGTGGGAGTGCCTTAGGTTTATCTTTTATTCCTTTGTTTTGTTGACTTTTTTTATTTTGGGGAGAGGCTGGAAGGGCAAAATATGTTTACTTTCCAAGAGCTTATTCTTTTTCTGTAATTGTCCCTTTTCAGGGTTTCCTGTTCTTTGAAAGTTTTCTTTGGTTCCCTTAATTATCTCTGTCTGCTCCAGGGTGGATTTTTCTGTTCCCTGCCTTGTTTCTCATGTGGACTATAGGCTCAGCCATCTCTGAGTATAAGAGTGACACAGTGGACAGGTTAAGTTGGGGCTCTGTGATGGTGAGCCTCCCAGACCGTGAGCCTCTGCTTTAGGCTGAGTGGGCAAGAGCCAGCCTGCTTGGCTGTGGGGCAATGCCAGGTCTCCCAAACGATGGAATAGGGAGGCTTCACGGGCCCAGTTCCCATGTTAGCTGCTCGCTCACAAGTTGCTTCAGCTCTTTTGTTTTTGCCTGTGAATAAAGATATATATTTGAAATCTTTAGTGTGCCAGGCACTGTCCTGGGCACTGCCAACACAGCAGTGACAGGTATGCAAGGTCCCTGCCCTTGGAGTTTGCATTCCGAAAGGAGGTTTTAGCAGTCCACTCTCTCTGTCCTGGAAATTCGTTGACATTTCTCCTGCCGATGGTCCCTGTGCTCTTTATTATGGTAGATTTATAGCTTTTAAGAATTCCTTTACTGTGTCTAAAATAGTACCACAGAAGGTGGAGGACTAGAAGCACTTTTGCATTTATAGTACAGAAGCTAGATTCTGACCTTCATGTGTGCCTGCTAGCCCGCAATGCTTCGATTGTGAAAAGAAAGCAGCCACAGAGATTTTCCAGTTCAGAATGATAAAAACCGGTCTCTCAGGGCACACAGCAGTCTTGAGACATACGTGTCTTACAGGACGGTCCTGGTTTTCATCAGCCTGTATGAAAGAAAGCCTTGGCCTTGCCTCTGACGCACTGGCAATCTGATTAAGCTGTCTCTGTAGGGTCCAAACCAAAGCCCAATTAGTTACCCTCCATGGACTAGCTATTAAAAAATGAATGATTGCCTCAAATTTTCAAAACCATGTTAAGTTAGAATGAATATGTGTCTTCTAGAACCTCGGGAAATGCGTTTCTTTAAGGGAATGCCTGGTCTTCATGGACCAGGAGTCTGTCTGGTCTGTGGCGGGTGGCCCCAGCGGAGTGACGCCTCGGGCACGTTTGTCTCAAGTGGGGTATGGCGCTGTGGGACTGCGTTGTCTCCAAGTGGTGTTTGCTTCAGCGGCTGATTCGTCATCAGTCTAGCTTTCTCCTGCAGTAGCCGTTGGAACGCTTGCCCCTGAGATTCTCAGGGACACGGTGTGAGGTGCAGCCTGGGCTGGACTCAGGTGGTCTGCCGGAGCTTTCAGGGTGGCTCCCTGCCAGCCTCTAAAGCCGTGGGGGACTTTAAACCACGGAGCTCAGAGCATTAGTGAAGCTATGAAATCAACTCAGTGGGCTACGGCCACTGTTAAAACTAAGAGTAAAACAAGAGACAATTTCAGTGGATTTCACTTGGTGGATATTATTATATTGTTGTGTATGAGGGACATTGCGTCGAGGTATCAGATGCATTTCTTATTGTGGGTCTTGGCGTTTAAAAAGCACTTTCTTAGAGAAAGGTGACGAAATGCTGGATGAAAAAGAAAATTCAGCATTTAGAAAATATAGCTTATTAACACATGCTGTAGATTTCATTGTGGTCTGTGGTTTCTACCGTCTTTTGTTGTTTTATGTGATTTTTGTGAGATATTTGGGGAAAGTTAACTGCCCTGTGGACAGAGCAGATGAAATTAGAGTGGCAGGTGCCTCCAGAGTGCTGTCTGGCGGAGCTGTTGTCCCAAGTCTGCTATCCAGTAGGAAGGTGCCACCAGCCACAAATGCAGAATTCCTGCTTTGTGGCCCCTATGAAAGCGATTAAAACAATATATTTGATTTATCAAGTTATGAGCTCAATGTGTAATCAATATAAAATCTTATTAAAGAGATATTTTACTCTTTACAAAGGCTGGTGTGTATTTCACACACAGCACCTCTCAGACTGGGTTTGTCACATTTCAAGTGCTTAATAGCCACACGTCCCATGGCCACCATGTTACACACCGAGTGCTAACTCAGCTAGATGCCTGCTCACAGAATAGGAGCATCTACGCACTGCCCAACCGTCAGGCTGCGTGTTCCCTCGGCCCTGAAGGGAACAGGAGCCGACACTTTCATTACTGGACTTCATCCTCACAGCAGCCCGATGACGTGGCCACGATGTCCCCACTGTACTGGTGATGACACGTGGCCCGAGCAGGTTAAGTGACTTTCACAGGTGACATGATTGGTGCGTGGCGGGTTGGAGCCCGCCGTACCTGAGGCCAGTGCTTGCTCTTCCTTTGGCCACATGGCTCCCCCAGCACAGTCAGAAGGGTCATCTCACAGGGTGTCTGTCCCGAGCCCCTGTTTTTATAGGTGAGGAAATGGAGTCTTGGAGGAATGCAGAGTGTTTTGTGGTAAGAACTGGGATCGGAATAAACTTTGTTCTCAGAATAAGTGGTCCTTTTAAAACATGATTGAGGGCCGGCCGAGTGGCGCGTTGGTTAAGAGTTGGCTTGGGACGCCAGCTCTGAGCAGCAGGGCCCCGGTTCAGATCCCACATGAGGGCCAGTGATGCTGCGCCCTCTACACCTAAGATGCTGAACAACAGCTCAACCTGGAGCTGGGCTGCCGTGAGTCGCCGGCGACGGTGTAGGCTGCAGTGGGGCTGCAGTGGGCTGCTGTGAGCTTTCGTGAGCTGCTGTGAGCCGCCGTGAATGGCCGTCCAATGGCCGGCAAGCAACTGCCTCACCAGGAAGAGCGCAATGATAATACCAACATGGGCCAGTGAAGCGACATCCTCCACAACTAGACTGAAGAACAAAAGGACAACAACTTGTCTGTTCCCCTTCCCCAATTCCCCAATGCTGTTCCCCTCCCCCACCCAATAAAATCTTTAAAAAAAAAATGATTGAAACTATGTAGAATGTATAAAGCAGAGAGAAAAGTAGTACTCATAACCCAATTCCCTGAGTTAAGTACTGTTTTCAGTTTGGGGTATATCCTTCTAGATTTTCTTCTCTGTACATACAATGCCTTCCCCCGGCCCCCACCCCAATGAAATGGCACACAGCCGGTCAGTGTGCCCCCCGCCCCACCTTAGGGCATTGTGGGCATCGCTCCATGTTGGACTTGGGCTCAGGGCGGAAGCTGAGGCCTCGCGAGGTGGGTGGACCCAGGGCTGCGGCCTCCCTGCTGTGGGGATGGAAGCGGCCGGGCCCAGTAGTCGTCGTCCTTCCTTCTGGCCTCACTTACCCCGGGGCTCCTTTAGCAGAGCTTTTCCCTGTGATCCCAGGTCCCTTTTCCTTCGACATTTCTGTGGTATCTTTGTCCTTTTGTGGTTTCTGAATTCTATGTATTTTTGGCGAGATTAAAGCCTTCTGACAACACTTTTCTCCCGCAGTCCCCAGTGACCTGACTGCGGAGGAGCGTCAGGAGCTGGAGAACATCCGGCGGCGGAAGCAGGAACTGCTGGCCGACATTCAGGTAGGAGGGCGGCACGTGCTGTGGGGTGACAGGTGTCCCTTACAGAGCCCTGTCCCCTTGCCTGACTTGCTCTCACCACGGCTCTGAATGGAGTGTAGGTGTTGAAAGTCACCTTTGCTTGACAAGTGGGAAGGAGGGATCTCAGAGAGGTTAAGTGGTTGCAAGCAACACCCAGCTGGTCAGCTGTCAGAACCAGAGTGACCCCCGGTCTCCTGATTGCCGAGTGGCGCGCGGGCAAGGCAGGCACTGGAGCTCGGCCTGCAGGGCAAGCAGACCCGCGGCCAGGCCCTGATGCGGCCACTCGCTGGCCGAGCGACTTTAGATACAAGAGTTTTGGTTCCTTGACCTTGAGTTTCTTCACCTGTAAGATGAGCGTGCAGACGCCTGTGGACAGGCTGCTGGAAGGGTTATATGAGTTCACGTCTGTACAGGACTGAGCAGAGCTGCTGGTCCCCAGGGGTGCCTAGTCAGCCACAGCTATTTTATCAATGTTTTCTTAAATTCCTTTGCATAAGCGCCAAGCTTGGTAGGAAATCAGCCGTAGAAGCCGTGACTGGGGTTATCTTAGCCCTGAGGCAGCAGGCTTCAGCCCTGGAGGGTTCCTGGTGAAATGTTTAGGAACTTGGGTGGGGAACAGAGCGGGGCATGCCCTGTCCCCCCAACGCTGCAGAGTGGACAGGGGAGACTTGACTAGCTCTGGGGTTGCTTTGAGTGCATTTTGATTGTTTGCCCTCATTCCTGTTTCTCTGGTCAATTAGGAGAGCTTAGCAGTTCTGCCCTCCCAGCCCCTCCCTGTGACAGTTGTCCCTGCTGAGGGCCCGCTGACCTGCCCGGGCTGGACATCCCCTCTGCGGCCACTTGGCGGCGCTGGCTGGTGGGCAGAGCCTGTATTGCCCCTGTTTGGGAAGCTGCAGGTGGGCTCTGAGAGGCATTGTGGAGGCAGCCTGTTCCAGTGGAGGACACTGAATTAACATAGTGTATATGATTATAAACCTTCCTAGGTTTGCGGGAGGAGCTTTGTTTTTCACCTGAGTGTTCCTTAGACTGCTTAGATCTGGTAGGAGCTCAGTAAATATTTGTTGAGTAGATGAATTTTCCAAAACTTCTTAGATTTTGTTTTGGTTTGTCTTATTTCATTTTATTTTGTTTTTCATTGGAAGGAGTTCTCTGAGATTTCAGAGGTTTAAATGTGACCAGTATCTTTCTCTCCCGGTAATCCTGGGCTGTCTGTTTTGTAGAGGCTGAAGGATGAGATAGCAGAAGTAGCTAATGAAATTGAAAACCTGGGATCCACAGAAGAAAGGTGAGTCTGTCCTGCTGCCGGCTGGCTCTGTGGCTGCAGCCCCGCCAAGCACCCAGCCTGTGACTGTGGCGTGTTTACGGAGAAAGTGCGCTTTCTGTCCTCTTTTCCTGGCAAGCACACGTGGAGCCATACCCCTGCTTTCTCCCCTTCAGTGTCAGGGCTTTTGAGATTGTTGGAAAGGCTGAACCTGGAAGAGAACTTGGAAGGTTCCCCAAAAACCGTAAACTGCCCTTAATTATTGTGTGAATTACTATTTCTTCCTCTCTATTGTCCACTGTGTTTGTATTTTAAAATTTCTGTTTTTCCTTTTGTAAAGGAAAAGCTTAATGAATGCTATAATTAAATAAAACAGGCCGGATTTCTCAGTTTTGTCTGGGTGACCTTGGGAGCTTGTTTGTACCTCCTGGTACTTAAAGACAAGAGAATGTAGAGATGAAATTACATTGCAAAATGAGGAGTGTTTGCGGGTTATGTTTTTCTTTTAACTACATGAAATGTTAGTGACTTTGAGAGTTTGGTTTTGACTGGGGTTCCCAGACCATTTTCTAACTGCTTAATGTGATAAATGGGCTGTTTCTAATTCATACATGTCTGTATTTTTCTAAGCCTAAGTCTCCATGTCTGGCTTTGTAAGACTGTTTGACTTTGTTGTTTTAAACTCTTGTGGGCGATGCCATGAGGGGTTAGTGAAGCCGCGTGCTCTACAGAAAGCGGCCAGCTCATCACTGCTAGTCTCTGTATTGTCTGTTTTGGGTTATAGTTTTAGTCTCATTTTTAAACATTGTAGCTTAAAAGAAATGGATAAATTGGAGTTCATCAAAATTTAAAATTTCTGCTCCTACATAAAAGATACTGTGAAAAGAAGTGAATAGGCAAGCCACTGACAAGGAGAAAATATTTGCAATACCTGTATTTGAAAAAAAGATTTGTATCGAGAATACATATATACACATATAAAGAATACACGCAGCTTAATACTAAAAAGACAGCCCAAATAAAAAATGGGCAAAAAACTTGAATAGACACTTCACAAAAGAAGCTGTATATGTGATAGACACTGACAAATGCTCACAGCGTTAGTCTTAAGGAGATGCAACCAAACACTACCGTGAGGTGCCACCCCACTCCCCTCAGATGACTGAAGTGAAATAGACTGGCTGCACCTCGTGTCGGTGAGAGCTGGTGAGAATCAAGGGGTGTAACCACATGGGAAAACAGTTTGGCACTTCCTTATGTTAAACACACACCCATGCTGTGCCCAGCAGTTCACCTCCCAGACCTTTACTCAAGGGAAAGAAAGCTCACCCACACAAAGGCTGTACAAGAATATGTACAGCGTTCTTACTGACAATAGCCCCAAACTGGAAATCGCTTCAACGTCTTCCAGTAGGCGGAAGGATGGCGGTAATAGGCGCGCTCACATGACATGCACTTGCTGGGTGATGACAGTGTGAACCTGGATTGTGGTAATATCACACAACTTAGTAGGCTTGCTAAACATCATTCAACTGTGCACTGAAAATGGCATGTGAGTGGCAGCTTAATAAAGTTACAAAGAGAAAACTGCTGGAGTGGAAGGAGCCCATGAGCATGGGGCCGGGGTCAGGATTCTGCGTGACCTTCCATCGTCACACCCACCTGTGTCTGTGCTTTCCTGGATAAATAAAAAATCCCTACAAATCCTTGGATGCATGTGGGAATTGTATTTGTCTTTTGAAGCCTCCCAATTACCAGGAGTACTACAATGGCTGTGGTGTTTGTTTTACAGGAAAAACATGCAGAGGAACAAACAGGTAGCCATGGGCAGGAAAAAATTCAACATGGACCCTAAGAAGGTAAACGCAAAAGACGCATGGGAGTCGGTAGTCTGTGGGCCAGGGTTCTCCGCCTTGCTCAGCCAGGGCCTGGTGGTGGTGGTCATGGCCCCCACGGGCCACGCATAAGCCCTGCTGGCTAAACTGACTCACCCTGCAAGTGTTCGCTAGACACTTTGTGTCAATCGGCAAGTGTTCGCTAGACATTTCCTCTGTGTCCAGAGCACTCACACCCATGCTTCCTGTGCCCTTCCGCTCCCTTTCTAGATGTTTCTGTGGTTAGCGTCACAGGTGTGTGTGCTCTTTTTCTAGGGGATCCAGTTCTTAATAGAGAACGATCTGCTGAAGAACACTTGTGAGGACATTGCCCAGTTCTTGTATAAAGGCGAAGGGCTCAACAAGACGGCCATTGGCGACTACCTGGGGGAGCGGTGAGGCCTCGGGGACATGCAGGCGGGAGAGCAGGGCGCTCGGGAGTAGGTAGAAAACATCTTGAGGAGAGTTTTGTCCTGAGGCAGCAGCAGCCACACGGGTGCCCGATGCCCAGGGGCGCTGGCCTGGGGGAAGCAGCTGGTGTGTGGGGGCGTGAGGCTCGTCACTTGCTCACCGGGCAGCCAGGGAGACTTTCTCACTGTGTGTGTGGTCGCGGGCGTGGCTGGGAAACCACCTGCTGGGGGTGGGGACGACCTGGGATTCTGAGCGTCAGTCTGACACCTGCTTGCCAACCGCCCCGTGTCTGTTGTTTTTTTGATAGAGATGAGTTCAACATCCAGGTTCTTCATGCGTTCGTGGGGTTACATGAGTTCACTGACCTTAACCTTGTCCAGGCCTTACGGTGAGCACAGTGGAAACGGGCGCCTTGGAAGGTGGGAGCGGCAGGTCTTTGGGAAGTGTGGCAGCTCCCAAAGGGGGAAATTATACCTTGGGGGTTAGTGTGACTATCTGGTAGTCTCTTATTGAAAAGCAGTCTATCTAGGCCTGTGATTGAAATGCTCAGGCGGCTAAAGGGAATTAAACTACGATGTATCCTGAAAGCAAATTGTGTGACACTCTTCCTAAGGTTTTTCATTTAATATTCTGGAAATTTTTGAAATTTAAATTTTGAAATCTTTTCTAATTTTCAGTTTAGAAATGTTTTAACTTCCCGCTGCCCTAGAATAGGAGGTGGGTAGTTAGCTGTGCACTTGATTTTAGAAAGAGAAAAGTGAACTTTAATTTTTTATTAAGTCTGTTACTTGTGCCTCCTGAGAAATGGCCATGCAGCAGTTTCACTGCCGTGGGTGTAAATGATAACGTCATCTCTGGTGGTGTCGTTAAGGTAGATGACAATGGTCCAGTTGAAGCTCACTGGCCATGGTCTCTCCTTGACTTGAAGGGACCACTGTGAAGGCTTTGGTGGGGAATCTCTTCCGGCACCTCATCTTGTTGTGTAGGAAGCGGAGCTGCTTTAGGACCAGCACCGTTCATATTTCAGTCTCGGGTATTATTCTGAGGAGGAGAGGCGTTCTCTTGAATAGGAAAACCTTATTTTTTTTTATTTTTTCAACACTTTCCCTTTGACTGAGAGAGCGGGCAGTGATGTGGAGCAGTAAGTCTGTGTCTGAGCAGAGTGACTGCCACAGAAGACCGTAGCCCCACAGCTCTCCCTGTGCCCTTTGGGATAAAAATCACCGGAAGTATAAGGGTTTACAGAGAAAGTGTCTCGCCAAGTCCTGTAACACACCCGTCTTCGTCGCACAGGCAGTTCCTGTGGAGCTTCCGGCTGCCCGGAGAGGCCCAGAAGATCGACCGGATGATGGAGGCGTTTGCCCAGAGATACTGCCAGTGCAACAGCGGCGTCTTCCAGTCCACGGGTGAGTGAGCATCCCCCTTCCTCGGCACTAGAAGCGAAAGGGCTTAGGTTCTAAGAGCAGCGATTTAAATGGTATCTATGGCAGTGAAAACTTGGACATAATCCCAAAGTCCAACCAACAGTAAGGGAGTAGGAATATAAGTGGTACTTCTAAATTACGCAGCTATTAGAAAGCACATTTTTAACTCTAAGAAGTTTTTATTGGCATAGGAAAAAGCATATAAGATTGGCAAAAAAGCTGGATCCCAAACCCTCTGTTTGAATTGCAGTTTAGTTATAGCACTGGTCTGTGCAGTGCGCTGGTGATGCGCATAGAGGCGCATGTACGTACAGGAAATGAAATAGGTTACTCCGAGGTAGGGGCTGACATGCCATTTGTGTTTTCCTTTTTGTACCCTGCATTGTTGTCCCGATTTTCCGCGGCAGCGCGCTGTTCACGGTCTGAGGAAGCCGTGCAGGCTTGGGCACTCGATGCCCCGGCAGCCACAGCTGTCCACCAGCGGCCTGCCCGCAGCTCGGCCCGCCCTTCCGTCCCCATGTCCCCAGCACTTCTTGTTCTTCCGTGGCTGTTTCTGATCTTCACTGTGCCCCACCCCTCAGACACGTGTTACGTCCTGTCGTTTGCCATCATCATGCTCAACACCAGCCTGCACAACCCCAACGTCAAAGACAAGCCCACAGTGGAGCGGTTCATCGCCATGAACCGCGGCATCAACGACGGCGGCGACCTGCCCGAGGAGCTGCTCCGGGTGAGCGCGCACCAGCACATGGTCCCCCAGGCTGGCGTCTGAGCTGTCCGCTCGCTTTGGTTTCATTACAGAGTTGGTAGTGAGGTCCCTCGGAGGGATCAGGAGGGGAGGTGGCTCCGAAATCTGACACTAAGGGTGTGAATGGAAGTCACACTGCTGTCTTTCCTTCCTTAGTTATCCTTTAGGCATCTCATTTATTTTGTCACTGAGCTGCCTGAAGGCAGGAACGGTGGTTTCTCCCCTGCTCTCAGTTCCTAGCAGGGTGTGTGGCATGCTGGAGGCACAGTGCTGGAGTGAAGGAAGAGAAAGGGGCGGGAGGAAAGCTGTTTCTAGAATCAGAGACAAGCAATCTCGTCTTTTATCCCAGAATCTGTATGAGAGCATAAAAAACGAGCCCTTTAAGATCCCAGAAGATGATGGGAATGACCTCACTCACACTTTCTTCAATCCAGACCGCGAAGGCTGGCTGTTGAAACTCGGTAAGTGGTGCCCGCTGGGTCAGGGCTCCTGCCGTGGAAATGTAGAAAGGGTGTGTGTGCTTGCACATGCGCACACACGCTGTGGGACGAGGTCCACCTCCAGAAAGGAAGTGAGTGCGGGGGGCGCTAGAGACTTGTGGGGACAGGCGTCACTCGGCCATCAGTATTGCCCACGAGTGTTTGCGCTCCACATTTACACTCTGGAAGTGACGGACCAGGTTTTGTTTCAAGGCCGACCCTGGTCCTTTTCCCTCTCTGCCCTCTCAGTCCCCGGGAGGGTGGCCAGCTGTATCCGTCTTTCTACTTCCCGTCACACAAATGTACACCTGGTGCTCCTGCTCCCCCACCCCTGCCCCCACCCCCAGTGCATCATCATCCTTCTACATCTGGCTCCCACGGCAGCGTGCATGGCAAACCCAGAGGCCTTGGCTGCAGCGCACCCCACGCCACTCCTCATTCTCGGGCACTGGTTTTTCCTCCTCCTTTCCAATGCAATCAGCCACATCGATGATTTTGTTCACTCGGGACAAGAAAACGTTATTCCTCTTCCCTTGGCCAAAAGTGAGCTTGAATGGCTGAGATCTGTGACACGCCTTGCCACAGAGGTGCCAGAGTAACCGTAGGGCTCACATGACGTTCACGTCCACACGTGAATGTTTTATTAATTGTTCCAGAACCTAGAGAGAGCCCTGGACTTCCTAGACAGAATGATGGCAATTTTTTTGGCCACTGAGAGAGTACTTTCCTTTGTTGTCTTCCGCCCGGGCCTTTTGAAGTGTGGGTTCCCACATGATATCAGGGGTGCTTGTCAGAGTGAAGCCCCCTACCGGTTCATCTGCTTGTCACAGTGAGATCGGAAGTCACTACTCTCTTGGCCGTTACTGACACACCTGGGAAGTGCTGAAAAGGAATCATTTATTTCTGACTAGTTGAGATAGCAGTAGGATTTATTATTTCCCTTTAAAAGCACATCCCAAGTCCTTGTATTTATACCTGATGACTTAATTCATGAATTTTTAAAGCACTACTTCACTGATTGGAGATTTAAATATCTCTTAAATTAGCCAACATTTCATGTATCTTTAAGCCGGTAGTATCTTTGAAGTTAAGGCTCTAAAATTACTAACCCCAGAGGCATCCATTCTTCTCTTCAGCTTCATTGCCAAGTGGACACAGTTAAAAGGAAACCTGCTGAAAATTTTAAAAGTGCAACCAAAGTTGCATCTACTTCCCCCTCCAGCAACGTTTGTTTAAACACTAATGCTAGTGTTGACAGCCCCAATACTAAAATTAGAACAGTACAAAGATTATCTTGGTTCTTGCACCAGGATGACATGCAAATTTGTGAGGCATCCCATATTTTCAAGGAGAAAAAACATGAACTAAATGCGGGACTTGATTTTTAGGTCATTGCATTACCTTCTCCAAACCTGCACCAAACCCCCCTCAGCTCTCCGTATCGTGTTTCACTGTAGCACACGTACAGTCACCCGTATGTGTCTGTGCTGCGGAAGGCGCCGCCACGCCGGACTTGTGTGTATGTCTGTATGCATATGGCCGTAACAATGTGTACTCTTGTGTATACACACATGTCCATATGTATTCATGGGTGTATGTGTGTGCGTTCTTACACACACTTGAAAGAGTGATAGCCACCTGAAGAAAGACACTTAACATCCCCAAAGTAATCTTTACTCTTTGCTTGGGATTCTGGATATACTAATAAATGGTAGCTCTGTGAGGACTGATTTGTGGCACCTCTGGGGCCAGATTTCCCATAGTGCCTCGGTTCCTGCCTCTACCAGGTGGGACGTGGCCCCTGAGACGAGGCCCCTCATCCACCCCCATACAGCAGCGTTGCCCGTCACTATTTTTGCTTGGCTCCCCCGCCCCCAGGCAGATATGAATAACGAATACATTGCACTTTAAGATTAAGGAGCTGGGTTTAATTTCTTTGTTTTAATTTTCTTTTCTCCCTCATTTGTATGTTTCCATGATTTGGGCTCTCCTTTTCCTTGCCCCAAACTCCAGGAGGTATGTAATCCCCTCAACCTGCTCGCTCCTCTGCCCAGGCCACTGTAACTGCTGCAGCGTTTTCTTATTTTGTTATTTTTGGTTATTTTGTTTTTAATTGCTGGTGGTAGTGTTAATGCTGCTTCTAACTTACTGTACAGTCCCTAGGGAACTGGTCAGGATCAGGGGCTTGGGGCAATTTTCATGTTTTCCCATTTAGGAGGACTACATAGTACATCAGTCAGACAGCAAGGTGCCAAGATATGAAATAATTAAACCTTTTTTGAGCACAGTAATGCAAGAAAACATACTAAGGGTGGGTTTGCAAAAGTGGAGAAAGCAGTCACTGAATTTTTCCTTGTAATTATTGGCCAGGCATGTGCTCTGTATGTTGGATTCCAATCAATATCCATGAGTTAAAAAGTAATTTCTAAAGTGGAGAAGAGGAGGAAGAGAAGGATGCTGTGACTTCCCAGAGTCGTGTGCTTCTGACAGACTGATCAGAAAGCAGACCAGGAAAAGAATTAAATTACACAAATTAGGACATTTGCCTTTGCATGAAAAAGGGAACTGGTGTTTCCTGAACTCAAAATGATACCGAGTAAAATTTAAGAAAAAAAAGACAAAACCAAAACCCCCTCTTTGAAGTCCTTTTCCTTCATTTCTTGGGGGTTGGAGGGGGGCGGGCATTACAACCTCGGCTCTGTTTATGTTTTGTTTTGTTTTTCTCCCTCCTCTTTTTCAACGACTCATTGCCAGAAACCCAAAAATTAGCCTCTTAGTTACATGGAGAGTGTTGCCGTCCACTCTCCAATGCTGATTGGGGGAAACGTGTTTTCCCGGCCCAGAGCCACTGAGGTGTGAGCTTCAGCCGGCCTCTGTGCGTGGGCTGCACGCATAGAGACCCAGCCAAGCCTTGACATCTGTTAGAACATGCTGGAGACTGGGCGGGTTGTCTCCAGCTGCAGGGGAAGCTGCCTCCGGCCTTTCCACCTCGGGGGTCAAGGAACCGAGGTTGGAAGGGGTCCTGTGAGTTCCACAGGGACTGTCCTAGGTGCGCACATTGACCTGTCTGCTTGTTTCATGTCTGTTTTTCTTTCAACATGGAAATGTTCCCCCTGGGACCACAGTGGCGCTTCATGGCAGAGGTCTCTGGCGCCACAGATGGTCAGGGCAAATACCCAAGCTTTTATAATCAGGGAGAGGGCGTTTCCAGCTTTGCTTTGCTCCTGGATGTCCTTCCATCATCTTCCTATTGGCATCTGACCCTTTTCCGTGGCTTCCTGGGCCCTGTGTCTCCTCCCCCCCGTATTCCCCGGTGGTCCTGTGAGGGGAGCGTGTGGTAGTCACGGGGTGAGGTGTCCTGGGTGCTGAGCCCCATGTGGGGAAGGATGCCCGAGACGGAAGAGCCGAGTTAGACTCCGAGATGGGGGAGGGCTTCCTTTCCATAACAGAGTGGCTCCAATTCTAAGTATACTTTTTGTCTTCCTTTTCCTTATTTATTTTTGTTCTGCCCAGCTTTTCCCGTTTTCCACATGCATGTCTTAGTTCCATCTATGGTTTTTTCCTAATCCATACCTTTAGCGATCAGAGGCACATGCTCACATCAGCTGCCAAGTCGCCGTGGGGGAGAGAGTCAGTCTGCTTGACCCTGGCCCAGGGCGGCGGTGGGTGGGGGACACTTACTTGCTCCTGGCAGACCCCCTCTCACGACCCCGGTCTGTGCCGTTTAGAACCTTGGCAGTGAGCGATCATGGTCTTAACCTCCCCGGGAGTTCAGGCACCCGAGCAGAGCCGTCAGAAGGGACCCCAAAGTCCACCAGTGCTCCCATGTGCTGCCAGGTCCTGGGCCGTGGGCCTTATTTCCAGGACGTTGTTTGTGCTGCTGCTTCAGCCTGCCCTTTAGGAAACCTGGTGTGAGCACACAGCATGTCCGGCAGTCAGAAGTCCTCCTTTAAATGCACCCTGCTCTTGGGTGAGGAGCAAGGGAGAAAGCGTGACTGTGGCCCCATTGGCTCACACTCTTGCTTTCTGTGAAGATCGGAGAGTGATATTCTCTGTGGGTCAAATCTTAGCAACAGGAGCCTATACTGTCCGGGGCCGTAAAAAGTGTTAGGAGATGCCACGCATGTCGTAACCACTGGATGACTGCGTGGTTCGTGTTCAGGAAGCTCGCCCTTGACCCGACGGAAGCAGAGGAAAAGGAAGGTGTGGTTCATGGCCGAGGCTCAGAGCAGGACCGGCTCCACTTGAGCAGGCCGTCCCCTTCCTCAGCACCCATCTCAGCAGAACGTCATGACCCCAACGGTGTTCCGGGTTTTGTTAACTGAGAAATATTGAAAGAGCTAAGAGGAGCCGCCACCAGTTCACAGCCATCAGTGTTCATGCTCCTGTCTTGCAACTTTTGTTACAAGCATCTGGAGAGGAGTCCGGAATGAAAAGGCTTCTGAGCGGGACCTCTGTGTACCAGTAAAGTCTCCCTGATACAGGAACTCCATGTTGTGTCATCCAGATCTCGGAGGAGTTTTGTTTTTAGGACACAGGCCCAGAAGCCTGAAAGTAGAAACGCACTACAGTTGGGAAGGCGGGGTGGCGGGTGAGTTCCACATTCCAGGAAAACTGGACTTGTTTGAAAGCCGGAAGGGATTAAAAGGTCTTCCTTCCTGTTCCCTTCTTCATGCCCTTTCTGATGAGATGGGGCTGGTTGACCCGGCAGTGTAGCTGGACCAGGGGACAGGCCCTCCCGTTTTCTTTTGTTTGCCCATTTCCACCACACCCAAAGCAGCTTCTGTAGCCCCCGTCAGACTTGCATTGCGTGTCACCATTGTCCCGGTCCCCCTCCCCACCCCCGTGCCCTCATCCCGCTGTCCATCTCCGGGCGCCTCCTGACTTGCTTGCTCTGCTTGTACCCACAGACTTTCACTCCATGAAAGGTGCTTCTGTCCTGGCTCTGTGTCTTGTCACCGATGTAAACCTTGCCATGGTCTCAGTGTCCCCTGGCGCCCTGCCCCTCGCTTCTCCTCCTCACTCAGAGGAGAGCTTTGTGCCCCGCGGGCCTGCGCTGCCTGCTGACCCCTGGGGGACACGCGTCTCTTTTTGCTCTGCAGGTGGCAGGGTGAAGACCTGGAAAAGACGCTGGTTCATTCTGACTGATAACTGCCTTTACTACTTTGAATATACAACGGTGAGCACCTGCTGTCGGCCTTGGGGGGGGGCAGGCAGGCCTCTGTCCCAGAACCCCCCAGTCAGGCCTGCTTGGAGAAGGCAGTGGGGGGACAGTCGGGCTTGTCCTTCTACATCGCTGGGGGTGGGAGGAGAATGGAAGGGAGGTGGGAGAGCTAAGATGAACCTCAGCCTGGGAACCCTGAAGATGTATGTGTGTGGTGTCTTCCCAGAGGAACTGGGGCGCAGAGCCACCATCCAGGTCTAGATCGGGACAGGGGACACCTGGCCAGGAGAAGGCAGTAGAGAGAACCTTACACATGGCATTAGAAATGGGTTTTAGAGCTGGGCTAGAAAGAATGAACCTGGATCAGTGGCCACGAAAGAATTTGCGGTCCTCTTGAAAGGGAGGTGAAAATAATCGTGATTTGGAGAATTCAGGTTTCCTGGGGTAGCAGAAATGCTGAGGCGTTTGATTCAGAAAAAACGGCCAAGGGGTAAAATATATAATAGAGGAAAAAGAGCTGAAATGGGAAAATTTAGAGATAATCTGGAGTTTTTAAGAAATTGAAGTTTTCTTAAGCTGTGGAAGCGTTGCTGGTTTTTATTCAGTGGCGAAGGAGTTACGTACAGCTGCTAATATGTGTTACCTGTCGGTCTCCATTATAATAAGAGCCTACGAGAATAAAAATCAGCAACTAAGACCTTTTTCACAGCTCCTTCTCACAGAGCACCCAGAAAGCCAGGCAGGTTGGTGGCTGGCACTCAGGCCTGTGGCTGTGTCATTTCTGCCATTCTTCGTGGTCCCCCGAGGAGCAGGGTGGTTGCACAGCTGGCAGCATCGGACTTGTGTCTTGAAATAAGTCCAGACAGTTGAGTGGGAATACTTTGCTTTTGTTCTCCAACCCTCTTCACTTAGTCCAAGTCATGGATCCAACTGGGAGCTGATTTAGAAGTGTCACTTACAGTAAGTGCAGAGCAAGATGCTCTGTAAATAAAAAAATGAAAATGCTGGCTGCATTTCTGTAAAACTTAGCCAGAACCAGAGCTTGGTACCTGCCTTGGCACCTCACTGCTTAGGAGCCAAGTGGGTTTCTGGTGCTGCGCCCACGCTTTGCATGCTTTGTCCATGTGGACGGTATATGAATGGAGCTTCTGTAAGTGTCAGCTTGTAACTCAGAGTCACTCGTTTTGAAAGCGTGCTGCCTATAATGGCATTCGGTAGTTTTCAAGGGATTTCTGACCAGGGTTTTGTGTAGAGAGGGGCTAAACTCATGCCACTTAAGTTCTGCAGCTGCTTTGCTTTTCTGTTATTAAAATCTTTTCAACTATGAGAGAATGTATTTCAAATACGCGAAACAAAAAGATGGCTTCTTCCTGTTTCACCCCCCACAGTACCACTATGACCAGTTTGGTGAATTGCTTTCTGTCGTGTCCCCCCCCCCCGCCCCCCAACACCATATTGCCTTTTTTCTTGATGATATCTAGACTGATGATACTTTAAAATCTTGTTTGGATTATTTTCACTGTTCTCTGGGTTAAAATTAAACATATACAGACTTCTAAGCAATGTACCCTAAGCACTGGGACAGTCCCAGCAGTGATGCAATGAAATTCTAGAATCTTGGGGTTGTTCCTGATGCTGACCATGGTGGCATCACCTGAATGCCACTCAGCAATGTGCCAGCATTGACCAGGCCATGGAAATACAGAGATTACATTTCCCAAGACAGAGCGGGAACCCTCAGGGTTGGTAGGCAGTGGAAACTTCACACAGAACTACCTAACACAGAGGACAATCAGGTAGAAACGGGAGGGGGGTGTAGCACCAGGATACAGAGGATAGAGGGTCCGAGCTACTGTGACCTCGGCACCTTGACCACGGTAGCAAGGACAGGCAGTGGGCTCACACAGGGCCCCCACCGCGCAGCCCTGGGGCACCTGCCATCCCCAGCCACCGCCCCGTGCCCTCGTCAGGGGGAGCCAACCAGGCAGTTCTCCCCTTTCCCCTTTCTGATCTAGGAGTGGTAGTCTGCTGCTGGGCAGAAATTGGTGGAATGAGAAACGTGAAAAGGTGGGACTCCCTCTCTGCGACGTTGGGGGAGACTCCAGACCATATTCGGTTGGGAGAACTGTCCATAGAGGGTGTGCCCATGAGCATGATCTCCCTCCCAAGAGAATGGGATGACCCTGATGTTGGGCGTTAGTGGTGCTAGAGGAGAGCCAGAACTGGGGGGGTGGGGGCGCGGGGAGGGGCTGAGAGGAGCTCGCCCTCGACTCTGCCCTTTCCTGAGACTAGGGTGTGGCCGGGATACAAAACACCCAGCTCTCTGGAAGTTCCAGACTTAAATGAGAACATATTTACAATGTAACTATGTAATTGTAAAGCTATAACTTATTTATTAACAAATAAGTTAAAACTTTTAGGAATGGAACAGATCAGCCAAAACTATAATCACTGTCATAGAGAAAAGGCTTGAGACAGTTTCAGACATTGTATCTGAAAAAGACAAGTATCAAAATAATTAGCTGACAGATATGGAGGACAGACAAAGATGATCTCAAAACCAGAATAATTGGTACCTACAAATATATGAAATTACTGGCTTGAGAAGTAGGAAAAACCACAAATCTGCAAATCAAAAGAGCGCATGGTATTTCGGGAACGTTTGTCACAGGAAGTTTGGCTCCAAGGCTCAGCCCAGCTACACTGTTGAGTTTGGATGGCTGCGTAGCAGGGACAGGAAGCCGCGTTGGCTGATGTCAGACGTCTGGTGTGCGTGGAAACGCATGCGTGGTAGCGACCTTTGCTGAGATGGGAAGCACTGGAGGAGGGCCAGTCGATGCAAGTGGGTGGCGGGGTGTTTGGCGCAGGAGTTTAGGCGCCTTTTGAGATCCAGGTGCAGTTGTCAGGCAGGGCACTTTCTCTTTGAGGTTCCCACAGTCTGATGAGGGGGGAAGGTAGGGCAGGAGACAATGAGCAGGGAATGACATGTGACACAGCTATAGTCCACGTGTTAGGGCACCCAGGACGAGATGAGGGCTTGCAGGGAGGTGCTGACACCAGAACTGAGGTTTAAAGATGAGTAGGGGAGCCAGACAAAGAGGCACAACAGTTTTCTACGTGAAAGGGACTTCCGTGTCCCAGCCAAGAACCACCCACGGCTCTTGGCACACTTGTAACTGTTGGACCCCTTGCCCCCGGCCCCGGTGTGCTCCTTGCAAAGGCCTTTGGTTAGAGGGATTCACTGCGTGTTACCTTGGCTACGCCCTTTTCTTGTTTGACAGTATCAGGCCTGTGCACTAGCTGAGCTGTGAGATGGTGGGAGAAGGCAGAGGGCTGGGGTTTCACCGGGGAGGAATGGAATAGGATAGGGGTTCACGAACGAGCCCTGAAGCCCCTCTTCAATTCTTCTGTAGGACAAGGAGCCCCGTGGCATCATCCCCTTAGAGAACCTGAGCATCCGGGAGCTGGAGGACTCCAAAAAGCCAGTGAGTATTTCGGGTGAGACCCTTTGGGGGGATAGAGAGATGGGCATGGCAGTGCTTTGCAAAAGAATGAAATTGCAAAGGTTTACTTAAAAAAACGTGAAGAAGACTATCAGGCCTTGAATTTAGCCTGACTTTTAAAATGACCTTCATGTTCAAGCTGAAGATGGGTTCCAGATAACCTTGTTGTTCTGCCATCGGCCTCCCTGTCGCTTACTGAAGGTCACAGGTAGACCATCCCTCCTGACAGGCCGCAGGCACTCCCCGTCCAGCGCCTGTGTGATGGGTTTCAGATGCCTTCAGAGTTTTTTTCCTTTGTGTTGGAATCTCATGATACTGCTGGCTTGACTTTAAAAGGCACTGAGTGCCCTGCATTTCTTTCCTCCTTCATCGCACGTTAGAAGCAGAGCTCACGTAAGCCTGGTGGATGCCTTTGCTAACGAGCCCCGTGTGGATAGTTGACATCCCTGGAGCTCCACGTCCAGGCTCCTCTTCCACAGGAGTGCTGATGTCACACGGGGTCTGTGAGGGTCAGAATACCGAGCCCTGTGGGAAGTGAGCCAGCGTTTCCTTCTCGGATGCAGCTTGCGTAGGTCTTTGCTGCTACCTTCCTCTTGTTTGATCCTCAGAACTGCTTCGAGCTTTACATCCCCGACAACAAAGACCAAGTGATCAAGGCGTGCAAGACGGAGGCCGACGGGCGCGTGGTGGAGGGCAACCACACCGTGTACCGGATCTCCGCGCCGACGCCCGAGGAGAAAGAAGAGTGGATCAAGTGCATCAAGTAGGTGGCGTCTGAGCGCCCGGCCGGCTTCGCCCGGCCGGCTTCGCCCACCCGCGCCCCTCAGCTCTCTGCTGTGGGTCGAGCCGCTGGGAGGCGCACTGCCATTTGAATCTGTAGGGAAGGGCTGGATTGCGGTTCGCAGCCCACCTTCCAGGGGACCTTGGGCTTCTTGGCCATTACAGCGTGTTTAGAGAGCACCCCACATTGGGCTTGCCCAAGTGCACCTCACAGGCCCAAAGAGGGAGCACATGAGCAAACCACAGGGACACGCATCACTCGCTAAGCGGGTCTCTCCACGTCTTAGGAAGCAAGTCTCATCTCCATGGCGGCAGCTCAGGGGCAACAGTAATTGTCATGTTTTGTCATTTCTTAATCCTGTGAGATGTTGATATCCTGTTTACAGATGAGGAAACTGAGGCCCACAGAGGTTGAGTTGTTTGCCCGAAGTCATGGCCATGACCAGGGTCACACTGTGCTGTGATGGAGCTGTGGGTCTGGGAGGGAAGGCTCTTGGGTCAGTGTGCGGTGGACCAGCCCCATGGGCTGCTCCTGTGCTGCCAGAGCGCCAGCCGCACAGCAAGGGTATATTACGGGGCGGGCTGTCCGGGCACGCAGGCCTCCTCGTGCTTTCTGCCTGGGACTTCTGTGAAGCCTGTTCACGTCACCGTCATGCCCCACATGCACACTGCTGCTCGTCTTGGTGGCATGTCTTCCTGAGAGCACGTCCCCACTGTCCTCGCTCTCCCCACTGGGCACTTCGTCTATCAGACGTTACCTAGCCATTTCCTTAGCGTCATTTCATTCCTGGGCCTCTTGACGTCCCCTGGAGACCAGGCTGTCTGCACTAACGGGTGGCCTTGTGTTGTCCCATATGGGGGGCGTTCTCCCCCAGGCCACAGCCTACCCTGAGGGGCTGAGCCGTCTCTAGTTGTTGTTTGGGGGCATCTGTACTAAAACCAGACTAGTGTTTTGCCCAGAATAAGGGGCGAGCAAACAGCAGTTCCCTCCCAACCACTCTGGGTGGCCAGATGCCTTCTTGGTGGGGTCCCCTGGGGACACGCTTCGGGCACTGTCCGGCCCTGACTTCCCCAAGGAGCCGTTGAGATGTAGCTCATGGCACAGCACCGCTGTGAACAGATCCCAGTCCCCTCACAGCAGCTGCACTCACGTAGTCAGTTGCAGAGCCAGCCGCCTCCTGGGTGTGCGAGCTCCCCTGAAAACTGGTCAGCACCTGGAACGTGGCTTCTCAGGAGCAGCAAGTTCCCCTTCAGAACCTGCAGATCACAACTTGCCCAAAGGTTGAGCGCGACAAATAAGGGACGTGTCACCTGGCTTCTTGGGGCCAGCGCGGGGCATGCTCAGGCCCCCTGTCCACCAGGCTGTGGACGCAGAGCAGACCTGGCCGGCCACTCACTGGGGCCCCAGCGACAGCACTGACTGCCCAGCCTCAGGTCTTGGTCATGGAGCTGGCAGCATGGGGACCCAAATGACACAGTACAGACCACGGCAGCCATCTGAAAGCACGTGTGCCAGGTGCTGCTGTGTAGCATATTGGATCACTCACTGCTCCACACGCCAGCTCATCATGGAACTAAAGTCCCGCGTTTGTTTTTCTGAGTTAGAACACAACTAAAAGAATGTGTAATGTTCTGTTCCTACACTTAAATTGAGTATTAGGGTGAACCAGGCAATGAACACCCAAAAATGATCTTGTCACCTGTGCTGTGTCTCTTGAAGCTTGTCCCTGAAGCTGTCATGTGGACACAGTGATTTGGCCTTTACCGTGACGCGCAGGCGGGCAGGGGGTCTGGGACACAGGTGCCCCTGGGGCATCCCTGCGGGTGGCGTCTCTTCTGGTCCTGCTGCTCAGCCTCTTCTCTTTTCTGCATTCCAGAGCGGCCATCAGCAGGGACCCTTTCTACGAGATGCTGGCGGCTCGGAAGAAGAAGGTGTCCTCCACGAAAAGGCACTGAGTCTGCAGCGGGCCGTCTGTTCCCGCGCCTCCCACGTCGGCGGGGCGGGTGCCGAGCAGGAACGCCTTGCGGGGCACGCCCTGAGTTCTAGAGACTCGCTTCAGCTTTTGCTATTTTTTTCTAAGTGGGAGGAGGGTAGCAGTTAGCGCTGGGAAGAGGGACCCGATGCCTGTCCAGCAGGGGCTTTGAGCCTCTCTCTGAAGAGAACGGAGCTCATGTCAGCAAGGCCGCCTCGTCGCAGGCCCTGTGGCAGGACTCGGGGCCGACAGTTGCCTCCCAGTTATTTCCGTGAAGAAGCCTTCTTCCTGCTCTGTGAGTTTCCATTAGGATATACTGTTACATGTTCAGAAAAGGTGGAATGGGAGTGAAGCCACGGGCTCGAAAGATATATTTTTGTTTTCTAAAAAGAGAAAAAGTAAAGTAGAGCTGTTCCGATGCGCTCTGCCCCGTATGGCTGGGAGAGCTCCTCCCTGGGCAGCTGCTAAGGGGCGTCAGCCCCGGGTCCAGGGGGGCAGGCCGCTTCCTTCACTTTGGGGAGCCGACGGGCACGCCAGAGGGTGGAGGAGGCGGCATGGACTCGACATGACACAGAGTCCGCCTGGGACCTGCGGCGGGCGGGCAGCTCCAGCTGATGCTCTTCCTGTCCGAGTGCCCGGGACCACTGAGTGGAGAAGACAAGCAACTGGACACTTGCGTTGTTTTTTCTTTCAGAATTGATTCTTGTTGGGCTTTAAAATAGGGAGTGAGCATTTTTCCTTGAGCTAAATGCCTAATAACCAAAACTGTGAGGCCGGTGCCCCCAGCAGAGGCTCTGGGCGGCCTAACTGTTCTTATTTGATTTTCTTTCCTCCCGCAAACTCCAGTCCTCGTTTTAGAGGAAGGAGTCTTCCCCAATCACCTTAGGGCTTCAGCGTTTTCTGCCTCTAACCTGGCCCTCACCTGGACTGCTCTCCATGCATTTTGTGGTGAGCCCCTCGCAGGGAAGTGGCCTTTACCTGCTCGGCGGGGGCAGGTGGAGGGGCGAGGGGTGACAAGGCCGGCCTCTCGCGTCGCTTTGCTTTCCCATCGCACAACAGCGCGTGCAGCAGCCTCGCCCCTCCTAACCTACGATGTGAAGGGAGCCTTCTCCTGCCGTTCTCTCAGGGACTCTCGGGCACTCCTGCCACTCATCAGGGCCTGCGTGCCGGTCCAGCCGGAGCAGGGGGCTGCCCGGGCCATCTCGGCCTGTCCCTCCAGTGGTCCAGGACCAGGCAGTGCCCAGTGCTGCCTCACGGAAGAGCTGGCGGTCTCCCCCGGGCAGCGGGGCCCCGGCTCCCCTGACACCTCTAAAGCAGGCTCACATCTCTGGAAATAGCTTTTGTAAAAGGGACTGGTGGAGGAGTGTTGGGGGGACTCTGGGGTCCCCCCTTCGTGCAGGTCCTACCTGGAGTGGCTTCGGGTACTTTTATGCCAGAGCTCGTGAAGGTGACAGAGGAGGGTCCAGGCTGGAAACCTGAACTTTCTGGTCGGGAGAACCAGGGCGGTGCAGCCGAAGTCCAGGCGGCCTCGTGCCGGAGCCCTCCGCTGCCTGCAGGCGACCTGGACAGAGAGGCACCTGTCAGTATTAGTAGTCTATTTATCAGAGGTGTACATAATCCATGTATAGTTTTTCTCCTTTTAGATTATTTTGTATTTGTTTAAAAAAAGTTTTGTCAAAATATATAAAGAAATGACTGAAAGTTGTTAACAGGGTTTTTAAAAAATTATAATTATTATTCCACTTGTTTTTTGTTTGGTTGTTTTTCTTTGCCTTGTAAACTAGCGCCAAGGAACAGCAGCAAATAAACTCCAAATCTGCCCAAACCACCTTTGTCGCTGTGGCCTTCTGCCTGTCGTTCCCTGGGTGGCTCTGAGTGGGAAGGCTGGCTCCCTGAGCGCCGATGGGGAGGGATATGTCACTTCAGCTTTCGTCTTAGTCCAGCGATGAGATACATTGCAAGTGGGGGGACGCAGCAACAGAGGCAGCATAGTCGTACCCACTTATTTGAAGAAGAAACAAACGTCAAACATTCAACTTGAAATTTAAAATCAAGAAACGTGCCTTCAGCTGATCAACACAGTTGCAGTATCTTTCCGTTTCCAGCTATACCTGCATGACGCAGGGAAGAGTGACAGTGCGACAGAACTCAGAAGCGGGAGGACACATGGCGTAGCATCACAGAGTAGGGAGAGACAGGCCCGGGCCCGGGCCCTCGGCCGGCAGCCCTGTCCCCTGCGGCTCTGACTTCTCTTCCCACCAACAGCAGCCAGCGCCCATCTCTGCTGCTTGCTTCACACTCAGGCCTGCCCCTGTCGTCCCCCCGTGGCCTCTTCACTTCCCCGAGAAGAGAGACCACTAGATGCGAAGGACAGCTCTCCTCCCTTCTGATGGCAGGCTCCGCCATGGCACCCCTCTGTCGTGTCCTCTGTCTGGGGAGGAAGGGGCCGCCTCCTTGCCTGCCTCCCCTGCCTCCTCATCAGTTTTGCCTTAAATCCCCTTCCCCACTGATGCCTTTCCCTCAAACGACAGAAGTGCACAAGTCTCTCCTTGGAAAAGCAACGCCCTAAGCTCAGGAACAAGACGATGTCTGCCTCCCCGCTTGTTTTCAGCATTGTACAGAGGGGCTTGCCAGGGCAATCAGGCAAGACAGAGAAAGAAACAACACACAGATAGGAAAGGAAGAAGATGAGGACCTCCTCAAAGGACTCTACAAAACCCTGTGAGACCTAATAAGTGCATTCTGCTAAAACATGCATTTCTTATATATAAGATTAATACACAAAAATCAATTTTTTCAATACACTACCAGTGAACAACCCAACAATGAAATGAAGAAAACAATCTCATTTGCAATAACATCAGAAAGAGGAAAATTTTAGAAATAAAAAAATATATATTTCTATAAAACATCACTGAAGGAAATTTAAACAGAAATTTAAATTTGAAGGAGACTTAAACAGAAAGGTCCAGCATGATGGATTGGAAGACTTAATATTGTTACCATGAAAATGCTCCCCACATTGATCTGCAGACTCAACACAGCCCCTACCAAAACCCCAGCTCTCTTTTTTTGTAGAAATGGAAAAACCTATCCTAAAATTCACACGGAAGTGAAAGGGACCAAGAATAGCCAAAACTATCTTGAAAAAGAATGAAGTTGGAGGACTTCCATTTCCTGACTCAGAACTCAGGACAATCAAGACTGAGTGCTGCTGGCGTAAGGATGGACACACAGATCCATGGGATAGAGCTGGGAGTCCAGAAATCAACTTCTACATTTATGGGCAATTTGTTTTAAAGAAGAGTGCCACAGTTCGCAGGGGTGGGGGCTGGCTAGGGGAGAGAATAGCTTTCAACAGGTGGTATTGGGCTAACTGAATACCCGCGTGAAAAAAATTAAGTTGAGCCCTTATCTCCCACCATCTACAAAAATTAACATGGATCAAAGACCTAAATGTTAAAGAGCTAAGATATTAAAACTAGAAGAAAACCAATGTAAATCTTCATGACCTTGGATTAGGCCATGGTTTTTTAGGTGTGGCACCAAATTACCAGCAACCAAGAAAACTTCTAAGAAAGGATAAACGACTTCATCAAAATTAAACATGTTTGTGCTTTAAAGGATACTGTCAGGAAAGTGAAAGACAACCTAGAGAATGAGAGAAGATACTTGTAAGTCAGTCCAATATACAGCATACCTAAAGCACTCTTAGAACTCAACAATAAAAAAAAAAAGCCAACAACAAATAACCCAGTTAAAAACGGGGCAGCACTTAGATTGGGCATTTCTGCAGAGAAGATGTGCAGGTGGCCACTAGGCACGCACGAGATGCCGTGGCGCGACCCGTCGGGGAGGCACAGGTCGGCAACTTGTCCAGGAATGTTCACAGCAGCTTTATTATCCGTAACAGCCCCCACATGGAAGGAGCTGACCCAGATGCCGAGCAGTGGATGACCGGACGGAAGCGTGGCCTCCGGGAAAGGGAGCATCGCTCAGCAGCGGGAGGAAGGAGTGCTTCCGATGGTCCACCCTCACTGCGTGCGCATCCTCGTCCCTCACCTCTCGGCCAGGCTCCTGCCTCCCCGCCTCCTCTCGGCTTCGATGGGCGCGTCTGGCTGGGCGCACCTGTCCTCCCAGCTGCCAACTGCCGGCAGTCCGGGGCTCCAGCTTCTGGCTTCTTCAGCTTGCTTCCTGGACAGATGACCAGTCTGACCGCAGCTGCCACTACCTGCTGGGTGGCCCTAAATATGCCTGTGTGACCTCAGTCTGTCCCAGGTGTCCCTCTTCATCGCGGGCCGCTTCCCGGGCCTCCCACATTCAGCGAAGCTGTACCTGAGCCTGTTCCCTGAGTGTCCGAAATGCCGCTTGTCAACGTTTCTCCATCGTTAGTCTCAGTGGACGCCTTCCTCTGGTGGCTGCGAAATGACGAACCCGTCCACAGCGCGCCCTCCAGTCCACCCGCTGGCCCTGGGCGTCCTGCCCGCAAGAAGAAGCCCCCCATCCCCGCTTGTGTGTCTGATACGGGCACAGCCGCGTGGACTCTTGTTTCCAATGGGCTGTGACACGTCACCGTCCTTAAGGAGTTTGGTGCTCAGATTGTCCCAAATTCGCCAGTGGGAGCCCCGTCGTCTGCTCCGTGTCCTGTGACATGTCCCCTCTGTTTCTGAGCGCTGCCTTCCTTTCCGGCATCACAAGAAAGATGGTCCAGGATCATCACACACCCCGCCTCCCGACCCCAGCCCGGCTCTGGGAGCAGCCATTTCTCTGAGGGGCTGTGGTTCCTCTTAGAGACGAGGATCTGGGCTCCAGGTGTGCTCATTGCTACCGGGTGTCTGCTCCTTTGCCCTTTCAGCTGACAGCTGGGAGACACGTGCACATAAATACACATGTTCACATACACATGTATGTAACAGCACATACCGCATCGGGTTATAAAAGTGAATGAGGTGATGCATATAAAAAAACACCAAAGAAGGGCCAGCCGAGTGGCTCAGTTGGTTAAGAGCTCGCTCAAGAGTTTGAGCTCTGAGCAACAGTGGTTCAAGTCCTGGCCCGAGCTGAGCAGCCGCTGAGCTGCCAACAGGTGGCAGGATGGCACAGCTAAAAAAATAAATAAATAAATAAATAAATTTTAAAACAAAAACAAAAACACAGCATTAAAAAAAAAAGGATTGTTTAAAAAAAAATTTTTTAAATAAAAAAACACAAAGAGCAAAAACAACACTTAGCCCAGTGCCAGGACATAGAACTCAGTTTAGCTATCAGCGTCATCAGCATCTTTGTTATTATCAAACGGGAAATTTCATCCTCCACATCACGTGCATGAAATCCTATATGCAGTTTGGGGTCCAGAGCAAAGGGCCAGCTGACTCACCCCTTCTCTCGGGGCGAGTGGACAGCTGCACCCAGTGGACAGACTAGAACGTGATGTGTGGCCGAGCCCAGCAGCTGCTCCTTCGCACCGCAGAACACCAGCGCGTCCCCAGAGACTCCAAAATGACTCCTCGATGGAAAGAAAGCTCTGAGCGGAGGTTCATACGCAAGACGGATAAATGCCGGCTGCAGACCAAGCACGCTGTCGTGTTTTCTCTTATGGGCCATTCCGGGTTCCGGCACGCCAAAAAGGGGCCTTGTGGGCAAGCCCATTTCCAGGGCCGCTTGTCCCATTCACCTCAGCCTGCCTGTGCTTCAGGGAAGCATCTCACACGTGTGGCGGAACTACAGCCACCTTTCTGAGTGGTCTTGACCGTGCGTGGATACGCCACAAGCAGCTCTGCGGCCTCGAGGCTGTGCGATGAAGAGCTCGCTCTCAGAGGCATCTCCCTGCCAGCCGTTCACGGTTCAGACCCGCCCCAGCTGCTCTCCGGAGTGAGCTGTCGCCTAACTTGGTTAACTGTGCTGCGACTTGCTTGCGAGGAGACAGCGGAAAACCTCAGGTCCTGCTAGTCCACAGACGGTCACGGGAACTGAGTCGGTGCCCAGCACCTGCGTCCCGTGTCCTGTATGAGTGAGGAGTGCAGCCGAGACTAGGGTGGACCCCACCCTCCTCACGTCTCCTCACTTCATGTTTCAGGAAGTTCCCTCACCTACTCTGGATTTAAGTCTTTGATCATCTTTAGTCAGAACAAATCTGTTGGTGTCCTCAGTGGCTCTTCCTCCGTTCCCAGCGGCTAACCCTCTGCATGACCAACATCATTAATAAAATGCATCACCGGTGCCATGCTACCCAGCATTTTCGTTTCTTTATGATCTTAGGCAAGACATAATTACAATTTATTGAGCTGTGTTCCAGAGACTTTTCACTCACTTCTTCATGTTGAACTCACGGTGTGAGACGGGCTGGTCTTTCCCAGGAAACCGAGAGGTGAAGGGTCAGGTGCCGGAGCAAGGTTCCTGATGGGCTGGTGTGCAGACGAGACTTGGACCAATCTGACTTCCAAGCGGAGTCTCTGCACGGGGATGACAGCTCACCTTAGTTCGTCCCACTAATCTAGACCTGCAGGGTATGGCCAAATCCTGAAGCCACTTTTATGGTGTCTGTGGTGTGTGGCCAATAGCAAGTCCCCCCGCCATGGGCCCTGTGGCTAAATCACAGCTGTGCCTCCCCTGCATGGAGCCCACAGGTGGCTCCCGTGCCCCACGAGTGCAGCTTGGGGTGTCTGGATTGCCTTTGTTGTATGACCATGTATTGGGCTGTCGGAAAAGTCATGACGCATTTTTGCAACGAAAAACATAAAACAAATACATATGACTTTTCCGGCAACCCAATATGGGTGTCCCCAGCTACCACCTGAAAACGAGCATCCTGCCAGATGTTAACAGGTGTTCCTGGGGGTCACTCACAGCGGCTTGGGAAGTGCTGGATCAGGCCGTGTAGCCGCTTCCTTCCTGGAGGCCTCCTCGATCTCCGCAAGAGTCCAGAGCATGTAGCGTCTCCTGACCTGTGTGCCATGGTGCCCCTTGCCAGCGACATCTCAGGAGAACCAGCATGCCTTGGCATGCAGTGGTCCAGCAGCCCCGCCCTCACCCAGCCAGTTGCTGTTCTCAGGCCACCTGCCCAAAGCCCAGCCCTTCCTGACTTCGCTGGTACCACTGCCCTTCTGGCAGCCCCACAGCCTTGGGCCCCCGGCTCTGCCCACCCCGCCTCAGCTGCCCCTGTCCTTCCTCCTTCCAGCCTCTGACGGCAGTCGCTCTGCCTTCCGCGTGGAAGTTCCCCACCTCCGTCTTCCCTGGGCTGCTTACCGCTCGTCTCTAAGGCCCCGGTGAGCCCCCACCCCTGACTCATCCATGTTCCCTGCCAGCACCCTGTCCTGTCACCACCACCAATCCCACCCCTTCCTGTCTGGAAAGTGATGCTCTTAATTATATAGTGTGCTGAGTTTCGCATAATCACACTGAATTTTAATTTCACAGCATGGCTCTCAGCCCAGGCCAAGTCCAGGAGAGAGTTTCTCATTTTGTGCTCACAGAACAACCCAGGGCGGGAGGAACGGTGCCTGGTCTCACAGGGACCTGGTGGCCTCAGAGCTCAGGGAACTTAGAGACTCGCCCTGGCCCAGGCCAGCAGCACAGGCCCTTCCGGAAGCTCTGGGGGGCTTCTCGCATCATTCGTGGCTTGATTTTTCCTGGGGGCCTTCCAACTCTCAGGCCTTTCTGTGGAAGGGCCCTGGCCTGTTTTACAGGGGACGGAGGGACAGAGAGGACGAGGCGTGGCCCCAACACTCCCCCAGTTCAGTGAAATCACCTGGGTTCAGGGCCTGTTCCCACAACAGGGCCAGCCCTGTGTGAGCACTCAGCCCTGCGTGTTAGGGCTGAGGCCAGCGGCAGCAGTGGTCGGGGGCACTGCAAAGCCATGGCCCTGTGTCCTGTGGGGCTCGGCGACAGCCCTGCAGAACTGTCTGTTTGTGACGGAGTGAAGTGAGCCCAGCGTCTCTGGGAACTGTCGTTTGTCTGATTTCTCGTCTTGGACCCCAGGAAGCCCAGTCAGAGCTCACTTCCCCCGGCGACTCAAGGTAACCCTGCTTTTCACTTTTTAAAATGTATTCATAAACTTTATTCTTTTAGAGCAGTTTTAGGTTCACAGCAAAATTGAGAGGGAGGTACAGAGATTTCCCATACACCCCCTGCCCCCACCTGCACAGCCCCGCCCCCCATCAACCCCCCACTAGATGGTGCATTTGTTAACAATGGATGAACCTGCATGGACACGTCATTACCCCCCAGAGTCCAGTTTACACGAGGGGCCGCCTGCTGCTGCACTTTCTGTGGGTTTGGACAAATGTCAAGTGACGGATCCACCGTTGGTCTCGCTGCCCTGGAAACCCTCGCGCTGCCTGCTCACTCCCTCCCCCACCCCTGGCAGCCCCTGACCTTTCTTCAGTCCACTGCCTGCAGAGCTCTGCATCCTCCAAATGTCCCAGAGTTGGGGTCATGCATCCTGTCACCCGTGCTTCCCGCTTTTATTCACGTTTTTGAGCCTTGATCCTGTTTCAGTACCACAGTGTAAGTCTGAATTTATAAACTCATTCACTTTTTTTTTTAAACAGGAAATGTATGAAAACAATAAAGACAAAAACTTTACAAACTGCCTCAGTAATTGGTCCAGTACTGGGTCAGTTAGGCACTTGCTTTTGTGCCCTTTCAGAGTTATGTCCATTTTTCTTTGTGATTATTTTAAAGGGGAACTAGAACAACTGGAGGCCGAGTGCATGGCATTCCAGACGCAGGGTGCTTTCCTGGTGATTTCTGGCACCAGTGATGGCAGCGGCGGTTCTGACCACAGCCTCTTGACAGGAGGGGACAGCTGTGGCGGCTGGAACAGGGCACCAACCTTGTTGCTCTTTCCACTGTGGGTTAAGCTTCCTGACGGTGTCACAGGGCACAGCAGTCCTTCGCCAAACTGCCCCGGGAGCAGTCATCACAATGTTAAATCCTGTCGCCTCTGTCTTATTGGATTTGGGGAGAACACCCTCCGTGGTTTGAGGGAGCACCCTCTGAGAAACCCGTGGGCGCCTGCCACAGAATGACTTTTCTTGAAGGAATAGATGATTACAGGCGATGTGGAAATAAGGTCACAATTTTCGTCACTGTCATTAAAATGACTTGATTCTGGGAACTTTAGGCAGAGAGCCCTTTTTGAGAACTGTCCAGAGACAGGGTGGAGTCCCTCTCCGCATCGCCTGTGGCGGGGCACCCCGGGCAAGGCTGACCTCAGCTGTCTGACGCAGGTTGTCCCTGATCAGCATCTGACCTTTACCCCCTGAAGGGACTGGATGCCGGTGTAATCTGCAGGTGGGTGGCATGTGCGGGCAAAGCCTGTTTGCCTCAGCGCCTCTCCCCGGCCATCAGCAGGGCATGGTCCCTTGGAAACAAAGCAGGTGGCCTCTCTAACATCACCCTATGTCGATGGGGCCACAGGGATGGAACCTCCTGTTGTCAGACACATGAAACCTAACCACACCATGGGACATGTTGAGGTGCGTCCTGCCACCAGTGAGGGTTCCAACAGCGCACGTCAGAGCCAGGTCACACCTGACATTTCATCCTTTCCCACTCTCTGCTCTTAAAGCCCGTCTCTCGTGAGGCATGGAAGCATCGCATGTCACCTGTCTGAACACTTGCTAATCATCTTGTAGGAGTCAAAGCTGTGTCTTTTTCTGAATCTGGTGAAGAATTCCCCCCCGCCCCCCTAAAAGAGCTCTGGTCTGGATAAATCAACGCTCCCCATGTAACAAATGCATTTCTTTTCAGGGAAGGTCTGTACCTGGCAAAAGCTTATGCACCTGAATCTCCCAGAAGCCCCAAGAAGTGGTTCTCACTGAGGCTCACAGGCCCCTCTGTGAAGCTAATGTAAGCTACAGTGAGTCTCCCCAGAAAATTACACCGAAAGTCCCAAGTGCAAAGTCAGTGGCCTGCCATAGTCCTGCCCCCCCCCGCCCCCCAGGCTCCAGGTAACACCTGCCCACATGGCAGCCCCTCCTGGGCGCCCCATGCGTAGGAACTAGGAAGCCTTGTGTTTGGCTCATGTCAAGTTTGCTCTTTCACTGTGTCTGTTCCCTGTGTGGTCAGTCCCAATGTACAGAATAGATGTTGCTTAGTGTAGTTTTGAATTTTTGTAAGAGTTTATTTAAGCCAACTGATGACATGCTGGGGAACAAGATCTCAAATACTCTCTTTAAAATATATATTTATAAGAGCTTATTTGACAGATGTTCTTTAAATGGATCTGTTTTAGTCTCCTTGGGTTACTATATCAAAAATACCACAGACTGGGCGGCTTAAGCAGCAGACATTTATTCCTCACAGTTCTGAAGGCTGGAAGTCCAAGCTCAAGGTGCCAGCCGATTCGGTTCCTGGTGAGGGTTCTCTTGTCTTCTGGTTGTGTCCTCATGTGGTGAGAAAGAGGGAGAGAGGGAGAGAGAGGGAGGGAAAGTGCTCTCTGCGGTCTGTCTGTCTGTCGTGTCTCTCTGGAGAGCCCTAACACCCGCCCGCTTGGTGGCACTGCCTGGTTACCTGTGCCCACCGCACAGCTTCTGGGCTTGCTCTACATCAGAGAGGAAACTCCACCTCCCTGCACTCAGGATGGTGCGGTCTTGTTCATCATCCACATGGCCTGGGCGGGGCACCAAGAGGGAAGACAGGCGAGGGGGAGCGTGGGTTACAGTTGCGAGAACCCCCACAGGTTAGCAAAATCACTGCTTTTCTCCCCAGTGAGCCCCCCGCTCCTCCCCCCACCCAGAGCCACTCGTGTTTCCCTTCACCCAGCTCCCCAACACAGCCACACACAGGTGAAGACTCGGCCTTTGCAATACGTTTTATTTTTAGAAAGCATTTCAAAAGTATAAACAAGTCGCAAACATCTATATATAGTATAAAGACCATCTGTGTGCCTAGGTTTACCTGCTAACATTTTACCCATTTTTTTATCATTTGCACACCTCCCCCCGCCCCACCACCACCATTTGGAAGCTTACTTACACCCTTTCAGCCCGAAACAGCACACATTTCCTCAGAATAGGGGTACCCCTTTACATAACCCTAACCATGGGAGCCTCAGGAAGTTTAACACGGGCACAGCGCTTTTGTCTGACCGGTCCTTGGAATTCAGAAGTGACCCACTGGCGTCCTTTGTGCACTTCCCCTCCAGCCCAGGCTCCAGTCCAGGCTCAGGTGTCGCACTGGGTTGTCCTGTCTCTTCACCCTCCTTTAATCTGGAACCTTCCCGCAGCCTTTCTCTGTCTGCCACGGCAGGGACGTTTCTGAAGACCGAACCGCACCTCCCCTGCCTTTTATGAAATAATAGACCGCTCCTCATTTGGGTTTCGCTTCACGTTTCCTCATGAGTTGTTGGGGGTTATGCATTTGGTGGGCCCTGTCTAGGGGGTGCTGGGCCTGTCTCAGGGCCCCCCGGGGGGAGTGGTGAAGTCCACTCGGTCCAGGGGCTGCCCAGCACCCCTGCTGTGTCATCATGATTTCTTTTTGCTCCTGGCAGCTAGTAAGCGACGGGGGAGGGGGGTGCTTTGAGATGATGCTCAGCAAAACCTCCTCTGAGACTGAGCAACAAGGGTGGTTCTTGCCTGCCGCAGTCTTCACCTCGCAAGCGTTTTTGCGTTCCTTTCTTTGCAAATCCAACTGTGTTGCTGAACTCGGGGGAGGCAGTGGTCTCCTGGTTTGTCCATTTGAGGGTTGATTTCGTTAGGATGTTTTCCTGACATTGACACACACCCTGATAGACACCGAGGAAAGTCCTTGCTCTGGCAGAGGCTGACTTGCTAGGATCGTCTAAATATGGCCGTGGTTCTTAATGCTGGAGGCTCTCTGTGTGTTTGCTAAGAGCTCTGGGTAGTTTTCCTGGAGTTTGCACACCTCACGTCTTGACTAAACTTCTGTGCAGTTCTGATGCTCTGTGGGCCCCACTGTTAGAACCCTGCCTGGAGGATTCGCCCAGGCTGGTGCTCTGGCCATGGTTTGAAGATCTGCAAATGTGGATAGAAAGTTGTAGAATCCCCCCTCGGAGTCTCTTCCTTGCAGGGTCTCTGCCTACTAGAGGAACGTTCACGGCCAGCCACTCACCTTCTCTCTCAGCTGTGTGTGATGGCATCACCTGCTTTGCCTCTACTGTACCTGTTTTGTCGTTGATGTCATTGAATTGTTTATTCATGGTGTTTTCATTCAATGCAGCAGAGAACTCAGAATGGGTTACCCACAGTGATGGTTCACTCTCAGGAATGCTTTGGGCCGCAGGTACCAGAACCCCAGCCAA